GTCCTAGCCAGAGAATTAAAGAAGTTGGTCCTAGCCAGAGAATTAAAGAAGTTGGTCCTAGCCAGAGAATTAAAGAAGTTGGTCCTAGCCAGAGAATTAAAGAAGTTGGTCCTAGCCAGAGAATTAAAGAAGTTGGTCCTAGCCAGAGAACTAAAGAAGTTGGTCCTAGCCAGAGGATTCAAGAAGTTGGTCCTAGCCAGAGAATTAAAGAAGTTGGTCCTAGCCAGAGAACTAAAGAAGTTGGTCCTAGCCAGAGAATTAAAGAAGTTGGACCTAGCCAGAGACTTAAAGAAGTTGGTCCTAGCCAGAGAATTAAAGAAGTTGGTCCTAGCCAGAGAATTAAATAATTTGGTCCTAGCCAGAGAATTAAAGAAGTTGGTCCTAGCCAGAGAATAAAAGAAGTTGGTCCTAGCCAGAGAATTAAAGAAGTTGGTCCTAGCCAGAGAATTAAAGAAGTTGGTCCTAGCCAGAGAATTAAAGAAGTTGGTCCTAGCCAGAGAATTAAAGAAGTTGGTCCTAGCCAGAGAATTAAAGAAGTTGGTCCTAGCCAGAGAATTAAAGAAGTTGGTCCTAGCCAGAGAATTAAAGAAGTTGGTCCTAGCCAGAGAATTAAAGAAGTTGGTCCTAGCCAGAGAATTAAAGAAGTTGGTCCTAGCCAGAGAATTAAAGAAGTTGGTCCTAGCCAGAGAATTAAAGAAGTTGGTCCTAGCCAGAGAATTAAAGAAGTTGGTCCTAGCCAGAGAATTAAAGAAGTTGGTCCTAGCCAGAGAATTAAAGAAGTTGGTCCTAGCCAGAGAATTAAAGAAGTTGGTCCTAGCCAGAGAATTAAAGAAGTTGGTCCTAGCCAGAGAATTAAAGAAGTTGGTCCTAGCCAGAGAATTAAAGAAGTTGGTCCTAGCCAGAGAATTAAAGAAGTTGGTCCTAGCCAGAGAATTAAAGAAGTTGGTCCTAGCCAGAGAATTAAAGAAGTTGGTCCTAGCCAGAGAATTAAAGAAGTTGGTCCTAGCCAGAGAATTAAAGAAGTTGGTCCTAGCCAGAGAATTAAAGAAGTTGGTCCTAGCCAGAGAATTAAAGAAGTTGGTCCTAGCCAGAGAATTAAAGAAGTTGGTCCTAGCCAGAGAATTAAAGAAGTTGGTCCTAGCCAGAGAATTAAAGAAGTTGGTCCTAGCCAGAGAATTAAAGAAGTTGGTCCTAGCCAGAGAATTAAAGAAGTTGGTCCTAGCCAGAGAATTAAAGAAGTTGGTCCTAGCCAGAGAATTAAAGAAGTTGGTCCTAGCCAGAGAATTAAAGAAGTTGGTCCTAGCCAGAGAATTAAAGAAGTTGGTCCTAGCCAGAGAATTAAAGAAGTTGGTCCTAGCCAGAGAATTAAAGAAGTTGGTCCTAGCCAGAGAATTAAAGAAGTTGGTCCTAGCCAGAGAATTAAAGAAGTTGGTCCTAGCCAGAGAATTAAAGAAGTTGGTCGTAGCCAGAGAATTAAAGAAGTTGGTCCTAGCCAGAGAACTAAAGAAGTTGGTCCTAGCCAGAGAATTAAAGAAGTTGGGCCTAGCCAGAGACTTAAAGAAGTTGGTCCTAGCCAGAGAATTAAAGAAGTTGGTCCTAGCCAGAGAATTAAATAAGTTGGTCCTAGCCAGAGAATTAAAGAAGTTGGTCCTAGCCAGAGAATAAAAGAAGGTTGTCCTAGCCAGAGAATTAAAGAAGTTGGTCCTAGCCAGAGAATTAAAGAAGTTGGTCCTAGCCAGAGAATTAAATAAGTTGGACCTAGCCAGAGAATTAAAGAAGTTGGTCCTAGCCAGAGAATTAAAGAAGTTGGTCCTAGCTAGAGAATTAAAGAAGTTGGTCCTTGCCAGAGAACTAAAGAAGTTGGTCCTAGCCAGAGGATTAAAGAAGTTGGTCCTAGCCAGAGAATTAAAGAAGTTGGTCCTAGCCAGAGAATTAAAGAAGTTGGTCCTAGCCAGAGAATTAAAGAAGTTGGTCCTAGCCAGAGAATTAAATAAGTTGGACCTAGCCAGAGAATTAAAGAAGTTGGTCCTAGCCAGAGAATTAAAGAAGTTGGTCCTAGCCAGAGAATTAAAGAAGTTGGTCCTAGCCAGAGAATTAAAGAAGTTGGTCCTAGCCAGAGAATTAAAGAAGTTGGTCCTAGCCAGAGAATTAAATAATTTGGTCCTAGCCAGAGAATTAAAGAAGTTGGTCCTAGCCAGAGAATAAAAGAAGGTTGTCCTAGCCAGAGAATTAAAGAAGTTGGTCCTAGCCAGAGGATTAAAGAAGTTGGTCCTAGCCAGAGAATTAAAGAAGTTGGTCCTAGCCAGAGGATTAAAGAAGTTGGTCCTAGCCAGAGAATTAAAGAAGTTGGTCCTAGCCAGAGAATTAAAGAAGTTGGTCCTAGCCAGAGAATTAAAGAAGTTGGTCCTAGCCAGAGAATTAAAGAAGTTGGTCCTAGCCAGAGAATAAAAGAAGGTTGTCCTAGCCAGAGAATTAAAGAAGTTGGTCCTAGCCAGAGGATTAAAGAAGGTTGTCCTAGCCAGAGAATTAAAGAAGTTGGTCCTAGCCAGAGAATTAAAGAAGTTGGTCCTAGCCAGAGAATTAAAGAAGTTGGCCCTAGCCAGAGAAAGGTCAAGGAAGAAAGTCCTTTATATGAAGAAGAAATAAAAGAAATACATGTGGACGAAGGTATTGTGTGTGTGTAGCAGAGGTTCCCAATCTGTGCGCCCTATGCAGCTGTGGCTTCTTTACTTGGGTTTCGCGAATAGAGAGAAAATAATTCTTTAAAATACGCTAAATTGCTGTGCACTTGTTGGAATTTAACTTAAGTCGGTCTAGGCGAAACTTGAACACCGCAAGGGTGCCGTGACTAATAATAGCGTTCGAGAACCTCTGACCACTAGCGAAATAGAGGAAGCGCCTATGCAATCTAAGTAATCAATTATTTAGAGTTGATCAGTTGTTAAGTGAAATATTTTTAAAAAATGGCTTAAATTATTCCTTACAGAGCTGAATCCTTCAACTTCCACTGAGACCCCGATAGAGAGGTAAGGAAACACGGATTTAATGACACGGGCAGAAAACAATAACAACAACCCACAAAATGCTTAGAGCCATTTATTCTAAACTTATAGATGGAATCACGGCACTCTTTACCTGGAGGTCCAGTGAGGTGAAGAGTCCCGCATCGTTGACAGCAGAAGTGGAAACAGAGCAGTGCCGACCTTTCTACGATTCAGAATCTGATGACGAGTCGTCCTGTGCCACGTTGAGTACAGCCAGCCAGCACCTGGCCAGGTTCACCGACAAACCCTACTTCTTAGAGCGCAACGTTGATTCCGATTCAGATCAGGAGCGAGGGTCTTCTGTCGCAGCTTCAACCGAAAAGAAAATGAAAGTGTCAGATTGTGTCAAAGATTGTGTCAGTGATCATGTCAAAGATTGTGTCAAAAATAATGTCAAAGATTGTGTCAAAGACTGCGTCAAAGTAAAAGGCAAACGTCAAAATCGCCCGGACGTCACAACACCAAGCAGGTCGCACTCTTCAGAGTATGACCTTCGAATTTTGCGTCAAACTTCTTCGGTTTGGTTCTTATACGACAGGAGGGAGGATGAATATCTCGTTCTCTACACTGTCCAGGAACGACGTCGTTGCAGACGGGGAACGGTAGTAGTATGGCGAGTCCTGGCGTATGATTCGTATCAGGGTTTGAACCTTTCCTCGTGCCGTCCTGTCAGATAGTGGTGTCGCTCGTATGCGGACCGTAAAAATATCACCATCCACGATCAGTACTTGTTATTCGTGCATGTCTCGCCGGACGTTGTAATCAGGAGTATATATGGAAACACGTAAAAGCCACCAGCCCACCAAGTGTTTATTCATCATCCACCATCTGACTGATATGAATGCCAGAGAAATATGTATGAAAGACGACACAAGCCAACTCGGCAAGTGTTGGCCTATCATGCAATCTTTTCGGATATTGTAGTCAGGAGTGTGAATGTGTGTGTGTGAGTGTGTGTGTGTGGAACGTAAAAAAAACAAATTATCCACATCCCGGATAATCCAGTGGTCGAATCTATGGATTTTCAGTTGTTTATTTCCAGTGGAATCAGAGTTTGGATTAGTAAAAAAAAAAATAGGATATGCTGATGATTTGAATTTGAATATTTAAAAAAAAAAAAATATTTTTTTTAAAATTGCTATTCTTTGCGATATTATATGATAGAGTACAAAAGACTTAGTATCATAGTGTCTTTTTCTTTCAGCTAGCATTATGTGGTCATTAATGACCAAAATGATTGTTGGCAGGGATTTTCAGTTGTTTATTTCCAGTGGAATCAGAGTTTGGATTAGAAAAAAAAAAAATAGGATATGCTGATGATTTGAATTTGAATATTTAAAAAAAAAAAAAATATTTTTTTTAAAATTGCTATTCTTTGCGATATCATATGATAGAGTACAAAAGACTTAGTATCATAGTGTCTTTTTCTTTCAGCTAGCATTATGTGGTCATTAATGACCAAAATGATTGTTGGCAGGGCTGATTAGATTAATTAGTATAGTAGATACTCAGTGGTTAAGTTTATGCAACACTAAACATTTAGATTTTTTAAAGTCAAAATGTAAATTTAAGTTTTGTTCTTACAAACATGTGTGTAGTTCTGTAACAATCGAAAGTAAAAAAAGGATTTGTGTTTTTTATGCGCAATATTGTTTTAATGATTAAAAAATGTTTAAATAGATTTAGTTCTTTGTATGATAACAGTTCCTGATGATGAAGAAGTATTTCGTAAGATGTATGTGTTGCTACTTGATGGTGTTGTAACTTGTTGACGGTTTATTACTCTATGATGGTGTTGTAACGTGTTGATGTTGTTGTTACTGGATGATGGTGTTGCAACTTGTTGATGGTGTTATTACTCGATGATGGTGTTTTAACTTGTTGATGTTGTTGTTACTGGATGATGGTGTTGTAACTTGTGACATACTTGCTAGGTCATGCACAAATGTTTTGAACTTTAAATATATAATATATATATATAAACCTCTTGTTTTTCTCATAGTGTATTTATCATATAAATCATATCATGATATCTTATTCATCAATCGCGCAGAGAATGTTGATTAATAAACAAACAAGGGCAGTTAAAAGAAAATCATATTCAATCCGGTTGTTCCCATTTTGAATCTCAATATTAAAGAACAAATTCGGATTTTCTTAAACAATGAAAATTCCAGATGTAATAAACAATCAAACAGCCACTCTTATCAATCAAATAATCATTCTTATCAATCAAACAATCACTCTTACCAATGAATAAATCACTCTTATTAATCACTCTTATCAATCAAACAATCACTCCCAACAATCAAAAAATCATTCTTATCATTCCAGCAATCATTCTTGTTAATCAAATAATCGTTCTCATCAATCAATAAATCACTCTTATCAATCAATCAATCAACCATTGTATCATTGATCCATTGTACGGCCTGGTAGGCATGGTTCTGGATTGAAGTTTACATTGCCAAAGGAAATATCCAAACTGGACAGGAGCAGCAAAAAATATATTAATCAAAATAATACCCGGTAATGTTAATCTTAAATAGATTTATTGAACTTCAATAGACAAATAATTGATATTTTAATGATAAACTGGATTCAGATTTCAATACATAAAATCACAATGCCCGCTTGTACTTAGGTTATTTTAAATAAATTAAATGGCTACTTCCACTGGGAATTAACTTTTGCTCGCCACGAAATTTTAAAGCATTTTTTTTTTTTCTGTTAAAACTAAAGTGGAGGGCCTATATTATTACTGCTGTAACATAAGGCCCGCATTGAGATTGTTGATTTCAGTCAACTCGCGCCATCAAAAGAAAATCACGATCAAATGCTGGCCCTCTCATGGCGATCTGTTAGTAGTTTTTATTATCCCTACTACTCTCTTTTGTCGAAATAATATTTTAAATTAAACTGGGTCAGAATAAAAGACTAAATAAACTTTTATAGAATTTAGCCAATGAAAGGTCAACTATCTCATAAAATTGAGTAATCGATATCACGCGTGGACTACTGCAGTGCTCTTATGGTGGGTCTTCCAGCTACGCTCCTAAGTAAAATTCAAAAAGCACAGGATAATGCGGCTTGCATTGTTCTTCGAAAACGCAAGTTCGACCATGCTAAAACACTTCTGAGAGAGTTGCATTGGCTGCCGGTCCGCGCTCGCATAGAGTACAAAATTGCAACTCTGTGCTACCGCTGCTTGCATGACCTGGCACCGTCCTATCTCAAAGAGCTGCTGACGCCTTATGTACCCACTAGACAACTCCGCTCATCTGATAGTGCCAAACTCTCGATACCACGTGCTCGATTGAAACTTATGAGTGGCGTACTTTCGCGTTTGCTGGCCCAACAATTTGGAACACTCTTCCTGTCGCTCTCAGAAACAGCCAGTCACTGGAGTCTTTCAAAACTGATCTGAAGACATATCTATTTCGCAAACACCTGCTGGGATGATGTTGTCTATCTAGCTATTATCTTGTGGATATGTAGTGGCCTGTGTTGTTTATGGTTGTTAGGTTTGAAAGACTTTGACTGGGGATTCTCGTATAGTTTTTGCAATGTTGCATTTTGTATTTCAATGTGGTATATAATAGATTGTTTCATTTCTCTTTTAATATACTAGACTATGTACCGCGCTTCAAGCCTTTGGGGATGAAGCGTGATTTTCAAATAATTATTATTATTATTATTATTATTAAAACTGATAAATATATGTATACATATAGTGTTTGTCATGTAGATCCTAGGGAACGGCAATTTAAGAGCCGCCCCCATGTGGCAAAATGGCTGGCTACGCCACTGTAGGTATACTTAAATTCTTATCCATATCATAGTCAGAGTGACTTATAGTGGGTTCCCAGTGAATTACTTTTACTGGTGGGAGGGGGGGGGCGCCCTGTTGCTGTCAAGACGGCCCTGTGTGGGGGCTCCGCGAATATTTGACGATGCGGTAGGAGGGCGCCTTAAGCGTGTGACAAAGTTTGTGACGACAAGTGGTGAGGGGGGGGGGGAATCAAAATGGGATAAAAAACGTGACGTCATTTACTGAATTGTGATTGACCGTCGGTCCCCACTGTAGGTCCCACCGTCGGTCCCACCGTCGGCCCCATTAAATATTGAGTTGTCGACCTTTGAACTTGAACTTGAAGTAAACGAATTACAACAAAAAAAAAGTATATCTTTTTTCTATCTTCCCATCGTGAACCGTGACAGCGCATCACAAGCTAGACTTGAAACTACAACTGATCAGTCGACAGTTAATTGAACAAAAACTAATGAAGCCTCCCGGTCCCCCCTCCCCCCCCCTCCTCCCCCAAGTCTTATTTAAAAAAAGTGTTTTCATGAATGTGTCCCACTTTGATTGGTTTGATTTGAAAGACAAACCAATGATTGGGGGGGGGGG